CCATCGATCAGGGAAGGGTAGCATAGGGAGCGAGTATAGTACAGGAACTTTCGCCAAGGTTGCAGCAATTCTTCGACTGAACTACAAGGTGTTTCAAAACTAATAAGGACACCTTTAAAAACTGCTGTTCCGAGATAGCATGAAAGATTCATGGCTTGCCGTCAACTTCATTGGATTCAGTATGCCCTCAAACTGTAGTACACCTCACCACAGAAAGCGATATCAGCCATAAACTTTCACACAAAAATCAAAAATGCCACTTGCTCCAACAGTACAAAGGACCATGGGCAATAGGACTTTGTCGCTAAACTTTGTTTTTCTTCTCGACTCGTTTGCGATTCTGTAGGCATGCTTGGTGAAAGCACACTAGCTTTTCACTAACGAGGAAGGTCTTTCAGGAAATGCCCAGCTTTCTCGAAACGGTTTTTGCATGATATAGGGGTACGTGCATGGAACACAGAACTGTAGTTCATTTTTCCTGAGCGGCCCTCTGAATACCAAAAAAGGGGTGATGAAGTGGTCCGTGGTTCGAATCCTCGCAGTGACAATTTTTTGCATTTTGTGTTGGCGTTTCAAAATTCGCGAAAAATAGCGTCAGCGTAAACAACTTATGTCATATCTATAATTAGGACATCAGCAACCTTTATACGTAGACTTTGGCTAAAAACTGGTGAAGAAAGCTAAAACCTTCGCTCCTTTTCTTGGTATTTTGTGTTGGCGTTTCAAAATCCAAGAAAAATAGCGTCAGCTCGAACAACTTATGTCATATCTATAATTAGGACATCAGCAACCTTTATACGTAGACTTTGGCTAAAAAACTGGTGAAGAAAGGTTAAAACGCTCCTTTTTGGTATTCAGAGGGCCGCTCAGGAAAAATGAACCACAGTTCTGTGTTCCATGCATGTGCCTCTATATCATGCAAAAACCGTTTTGAGAAAGCTGGGCATTTCCTGAAAGACCTCCCTGGTAAGGCTAGACGATTTAAGCTTTTCCAGAGGAGCAGCACCCATATGATACCGCGAGGTCTCGTTAGCTCACCCAAGTACTTCCACAATACTTCTCTGCTTGCTACCAGTGTAGATTTACCTTGCAAGAATTCCCAAGGTGCTTTTGGTAGGATTTAGATCCCAACTGCATGCAGACCAATGTAACCGTTTCGTTGAGACTACGGACTACATATTTAGCTGATCAGCTGCATCGGCGCTGTCGGGCATAAGATGAAATTCTACCGGCAATCTAAACTTACGATTAAAAGCGACAATATATGATAGGTTAGACCACCCTAAATCGCTGAAGTCCATTCCATCCGACACCAGAGAGGGTACACTACTGTTGCACAATGCAGCTCAGTCCACCTGGAAGCTTCCCCCGGTGGGAGACTGGTGTGTCTTTTCCGAAACCCCTCAATCAGCTGCCGTATGCATCCGGCATCTCTCAGTCAAGCTTATTCTTATCAGAAAAGATTACCCAAACTCGAAGGAGCCCTTACCACTAGTCACCTTAACTATGTGCCTTCCTACCCCGTAGAACCACCTGCTAATTCCCATACCATCTTAAATCTTCAGCTAGTTTGAAGTGTAGCGTCTTGTGGTCTCACTCCAGCAGACGTCATCATGGACTGTACAAAATATTTTAAACATATAGGTGGAAATCTCGTATCAACAACTACCATTTGGAAATCCATATGGTAGTTGTTGATACGAGAAACGAAAGTTATGTGAGACCTGCTTGACTGACGTGGTATAACTAGAATAGTTGTTGGATACAATTTACTTCGTGCTTAGAGGTCACTCTGATTCTCCAAAAAATCTGTTATTACCATAAGAAGCCGCATTTCCCATAAATTTGTCAACATAACCGGAGATTGGTCATGTTGAGCGGCTATGAAGCATTATAGTGAAAATTGTGTGTGGTGTGTGATGTGCCATGCTTTCTGAGTGGTCACAGTCAACCCTTCAACTTTATCAACTTTAATGAAACAGTAACAGAAAATACAAATTAGTTCAATAGGAGTGGATGGACAGTGTTAGCAGAGTTGAAGTGGACAAGGGGTGCTCTAGCACGAGCAGAAAAACGAACACTTGTGCTTGCTATGCCTTTTACACGATATTCCCCGCGTCATTCTTGGTAGGTGGGCCAATTTTGGCCACGTACCGTGAGCGCAAGGCGTTCACAGGGCTAGCGCTTGACCACTTTTTAAAATTAGACCTTCGCATGATCTTGTTCCTAGATAGAAAACTCTGGACATCTATTCCCACAAAATTGCAGTTGCGACTACAGGAAGGAGCTTCACTCAGAATCCTCTCACCCACTGTGCCCCAACACTTTTGATACATGGAGATTTCCGAATTCAATAATACAACCGTTTCTAGGGTATATGATTTCAGTGGTTCCAGTGCATGTTGAATTCATAAAAGAGGAGCCAGCCATGAGTGATCTATCCGAAATCGGGACTGCTGTTTTCAGCACGGTGAATAACTGTAGAGCAAATGAGTTTTTCCTACTTGTTGACTAGTCCATCAAAAATCAGTGAACAACAAAGGAGTCCTGTTGATTTTCCACATGTTGCAAATTGCAACGAGATTTACTTTGCATCTTATACTATGGTTAGAAGTTTTCACTTAGTTTTTTCTTATCTACTAGCTGATCAGACATTTTTAAGACGTCTGAATGGCCTTATCAGTTTCATCTTCAGGCTATGCTTACATATCCCCCGCTTGCCGACGTCGCCTGCATAAAAGCCCCTCGCCCAGACGACCGCAGCTCAGTTCAAACTGCTCCAGAAGTTTGTGCTTCCACTCGTCCAATCCCACGAAGATCGGATCGCGCCATACCCTCGACTCCCGCTCAAGATCAGGAGACCTCAGAAGGGACGATTGGTTGGTCAAGAGTGGAGAGTTGAAGTCCGAACCCCAAGGGGTGAGCAAGAGAGGACGTCCTGTAGTAGTGCAATAAATATTATATTTATTCGCTTCAGCACATATCACGAACCGCGTGGCCAGCGTAAAGCTGTAAGGTGAGCCCATAAAAGGATCCTGAACTACATGCCGTTGTGTGTTCTTGACCGAATTCTCCCAGAATCCGTGGCAATCCTTCAATTTTAGAGAAAAATAAGACAAATTATTCCATTGACGTCATCTCTAGAGAACCGGAGAGTCACCGAATCTTTGAGCACCATTGGATAAGTACAAACAGTACTAGTCAAAGAGTATAAATAAGATTTATATTAAAACGTAACATCGCGGCAGGATTAATATTGAGATAAACGGGAACATTCACACGTTCAAAGTGAGACATAAGCTAGTAAGCGTTTCACAGGTAAAACAACATCAAAACTGCAACAAAAGAACAAGAATTGAAACAAACAAACACTACATAAGCAAATAAGACGGGGAAAATAAAACAAAACATTTTTACACAGCACATTTTGGCTTTCTGTTACTTGCACAGACTTTCGAAAGAGTCCTTCTTTTCAAGTAAGGTTGCATTGTCCCAAATCACCTTGCCTTTTAATTCGCTTGAGCATGCTCCAACGACCATAGCCTACAAAAAGTCATTGGTCAGAATACCAAAAAGATTAGTAGCCAGCATCAACTGAGATCTTAACTGAAAAAGCTTTGTCGCCCTTCGTCAAAGCATCTCTTCTTTGCTCCTTTTTTTAGAACATTTCCAAAGCGTGCTCTTGGCGAACCCCCCTTGAAAACACAACACTTTTTAACATTTCTCACCTTTGCAACATCGGCAGTAGAAATAGCGATCGAGTTGCTGAGCATTTTCAATGGTTTGACAAAGATTTTTGCTAGAGATTCTCCGAAACGATGCTCTGTAATGGACACATTGTGACGTCATCACCAAACCAGAAAAGTCTATGAGAACACTAGGGAAATTGGTAGAGACTGATACCACAGCAAGAGAAAAAATAATCTGATTAAAGGAGGATTTCACGATAAGAACGAAGGTCAAAGAAGGGAAAATTGCATAGTTGGGAGACAGGCGGACCTCCTGAGGGTGCTGACCGACGCGCAATTGGCAGCGAAAGATTTGACCTCGGCGATCTAGCATGGCTCACTCTTGGCGCGGTTGGCGGGGTACGCCCACCGACTATCTAATCACTCGCCGCAGGTCTATACGCGG